ACATTTATCTCATAAAACTGATAAATATTAACTCTGATCAATGACCCGGATCACTGCCATATCTTCAGTGTGTTCTACTGATTAAAAAAAGTTCACATCTGTTTTTACACCAAACTTCATTTTGTACAAACAACACATACGTACATAAGTTTAGCAGCTGTATTTCCTCTGGACAAAAACTTAATTTGTACATGAGATGTTTTATGGAAACCGTGGAAAAATCTATTTAATCCCAAAAATCAAAACTAGCGTGATTATAAGAAGAACGTTTTGTAAAACTGTAATAATTTGATGTCTGGTAATAAAAATAAAATATGTCTTAAAAGTTTCTTATTGAACTCAGAAAATATTTTGTCATACTACACAGCTGTAAAATGATAAAAATGTTGAGCAATGGTCCAAGAATCATGAAGTAATGAAAGATTTTTTTACTTTTTGACTTGATTTATTCTTTCAAACATGCAGAACAAATGACATCAACACACACATAATTACACAAATCCAACCAATGCTAATCTAGAATCAGTTTGCTTATACCTAGTACATGTACTTCATCTGATATTCATCAAGTGTAGTGAATTTCATCGCCACGTCACCTGTGAAATGAGTCTACACCGCCTTTGTTACGGACTCGTGTGAGACTGTCTGCAATTCACCATCAGCATGTATGGGTCAAACTAGGGCTGCCCTAACAGGTTCTGAGATGTGAAGGCCAGAAACCCTTAAAACATCTTTAATTTAGGGAAGAGGATGAAGATGAAGAGGAGGGTGAAGAGGATCGTCTGGTCTGGGCGATCCAGGAGATGAAGCTCGAGACTCGGGCGTAGACTCCAGGTCTCTGAGGGCGTCCACAGCCAATCCCAAATGAGGTCACACCTGTCAGGACCAATCAGATACTGACCCTCATCATCATCATAAAGCAGTGATGGGCAAACAGAGGCCTGTGGGCCAAATGGGGCCCTCCAACAAAAATATTAGGCCCCTGATAAAGCTGAAGGTGGTGATTTTATAGTTCACATTGAAACTGTAGATAACAACGTAAGCAATACGACTATGAGGATGTAAATTTCAGTGACTATGACCTGGTTGTTTATTGTATGTGGATAAATGAACAGCTCCAGCCTCCATATTTTAATCTAATCACTTGTGATTCTGGGAACCTAGACGTAGAGAAATGAACTGTTGTCTACATACCTTTTAATTCAAGTAAAAACTGAAATATTTAAAAGTGTGACAGAAACTGACCAATCTGGGTCCAGCGCCCTCCGTCCTCACACATCAGCGGCCCTCCAGAGTCGCCCTGAAACAACAAGATGCGTAAACTTCTTTAACAAAAACTTTAAGAACACAATGAACACAAAGTGTTTACAGTGCAGCTGAACTGACTGACCAATCAGCACTTAGATCACCTCCTCTATTTGGAAAAAAAGTTATTAGCAAAATAGCAAAGTAAATATTTCTGAACCCACACAGAGCCGCTTTCTTTGTGTACCTAACAGCTTGTGATGTCATCAGGTGTGTGGACACCTGGGCTCACCCAGTGTTGCAGGGGTCTACAGGAAAGCTACTGTAAAGGGTTTTTATTGTTAACAGGTGGTTTGGTGTGACAGGGTTTGTGACAAACACCTGTATGTGTCTTTCCTTCTGAGGGTGTGACTGTTGTTCTGCTTCAGTATAAGAGCAAGAGGTTGACAGATATGGGTCAGAACACATGGACAGACCTTTTATTCCCCATGCCGGCATGTCATTAAACAGACATGGGTCATCACCTTGAGTTTCTTTCGTGTTTTTTTTCCAAGATTTGGCAATTATCAAATATTAAAGAAGAATTTCAATGACAACAGTCACCTCTATCTGTCAGGACCAAACACACCCGTGTCTGTGCGACCTGATCTGTTCTAGCTTTGGTCTGCTGGCAGCACGGCCTGCTCTGGATCAGAGTCTGATGGGGACCACAGGTGAGTTGTTACCTTGCAGGAGTCAACCCCTCCCTCGGGGTATCCAGCACACAGCATGCTGGAGGTGATGGTATACTCGGGCAACTGACGCTGGCACTGCTCCTGGTCCACCAGAGGAACCTCAGCCTCCTGCAGGACATTGGTTGGATAACCTGAAAGAGAGAGAAAGAGAGAGAGACAGGTGAGAAACAAAAAGGTCAAAGGCTGAAACCTTGATGTGTCCTCAGGTGACCTCAGGTGTCTTACCTTGCTCAGCATCTTGTCCCCAGCCTGAGATGAAACATTTTGTTCCTGCTGTGATGTCCTGACCCTCGGCAGGTAAACACAATGGCTGGATCCACTCTGGCAAACAGTTGTATAACAACCACAAGTTACTTCAACAGGAAATGATTTAAACTCTGTTGACAGATGTTTCTATAGAAACAAGGATTTCTTTACCTCAATGTGTTTATTACTACAACATGCACTAGTACAAGGTACAGAGAGAGAGACAAATTGTGATCGGCACCTATTTTGATGGACCTGACATCTCATTTACATATGAAAGATATTGAATACATGAATAATATATAAAAGTCCAAGGTCTAATACTTTTGGTACAACTAGCTTTTTACAACAGCATAATATACTAAAATTATACTAGTTAAATGCACTAAAAACAGGCAGTTAGGCTAATAATGTCACAATGTAACTGGCCTGTGCAGGTCACACTGGGTCATCTGCACATTCAGCATAACGTCATGTTGGCCACAGAGTAAAAATGTGGAAAAGACAGGCGAATTTGCTAAAGTACCTCATGTCGCAGCAGGCTGAGGCTAGTCAGGAGTCAGAAGCTAAACAGGCCGAGCTGGACCCAGTCAAGAAAAGGTTAGTACAGGCCGGTCTGGTGCTGAGCTCTTAGATTTCAAAAGGACTGAAGCAAAGCACAGACTAACATGAGAGAGGACTCCTGCCCCACGACTGTGTTATGGCCTATTTTAAATAATGGAAGGTAAGAACATGTTTATTTAACATATAGTCTGTTGAATTTGTTGCTGTAATACTCTGAATTGCCCTGGAATGGTTTATGTCTTACTTATCTGGCAGGACCATGTGTGTTGGCATTGCTGATGTTGAATCTTCGTCAACCTCACTGTCTTTTGGGGTACTGCAGGGATCAATTTTGGGGCCCTTGCTGTTCTCATTATAGCTACTCCCACTTGGCTCCATCATGAGAAAGCATGGTGCCCTTTTTCATTGCTATGCTGATGATATTCAAATTTATATGCCGCTAAAGATGAAGGATAACTTCTCAATTAAGCCATTATTGGCGTGTCTTGATAATGCCAGGGACTGGATGACCCTAAGTTTGTTAAAACTTAATGAAACAAAGGCTGAAGTAACATTGTTTGGTCCAAATAAATCTGGTGACCTCCCTTCAGTTGATTTAGGTCACCTGGTGCAGTATGAGAAACCGACGATTTTGAATTTGGGTGTAAAAATTGATTCTGGTCTGAAATTTGACCGCCAAATTAATGCAATTGTGAAATCTAGCTTTTTCCACCTTAGGCAGATAACGAAGGTAAAGCCTTTTCTTGCACGCCAGCATTTTGAGACAGTAATCCATGCATTTATTACATCACGTTTGGATTACTGTAATGCACTGTCTGTTGGAGTCAGCCAGTCGTCACTTCCTCGTCTCCAAATGGTTCAGAATGCAGCTGCCCGTCTTTTGCTTGGAGTGCGTAAAAGGGAGCACATAACCCCTATTTTGGCATCCCTTCACTGGCTCCCGGTGTCTTCTAGGATTCATTTTAAGATTCTTTTATTTGTTTTCAAGTCTTTAAATGGTCTTGCACCATCGTATCTTGTTGAGCTTTTGTCTCCCTATAGTCCCTCTCGGTGCCTCAGATCAGCTGACCAGCTCCTGCTGGGGGTACCAAGGGTTAGGTATAAATCTAGAGGGGACAGAGTGTTTTCCGTGTGGCTCCCAAGCTATGGAATGTGCTGCCTCTTTAGGCAGGCCCCCTCGTTGGCCATCTCATTTTTAAAACTTCCTTGAAGACCCATTTGTATGCCTTGGCGTTTGATACGGCATGAGACTCTGTTTGGGCTGAGTTTTGGTTTTGGATATAAATCTAGAGGGGACAGAGTGTTTTCCGTGTGGCTCCCAAGCTATGGAATGTGCTGCCTCTTTAGGCAGGCCCCCTCGTTGGCCATCTTTAAAACTTAGTTGAAGACCCATTTGTATGCCTTGGTGTTCGATACGGTGTGAGACTCTGTTCAGGTTCTGGTTTTGGATAGTCCTTTGTGCTATTTTGATTTAGTTATTTAATTTTATTGTTGTTTTATTCTTTTTATTATGTAGTTGTTTATATATTTACATGTTTTAAATGGAATCTTATATTAAGCACTTTGTTTGGCTCTGGCTGTGTTAAAGTGCTTTATAAATAAAGTTGAGTTGAGTTGAGTTGAATATAGTGTTATAAGTAATAAGGCCCCAGATATGAGGCCATGCTTGGTACTGACTGAATGGATTGAAGGCCGCAGCCTTGCAGTCCTAATGTATCTAACATCAGTTGCACTTAGCATTTATAACTAGTAAATGTGAGCCTTCATGTGTGATTTTTTTTTTTTTTTTTTTTGTCACTATAAACACCGAGACACACAACAAATAATGTTTTGTCACTAAGCTGCTCCCTTAATGTGGAAACTAGGCAAACGCACCAGTTTTCATTCTGGTCACTGGCTCAGGTCCTTCATGGACATTACAAGATACAAGATGCTCTGTAAAAAAGTAGTTCAATAAATAACCAGGTGTTTATATTTGTTTCTCACGGGTGAAGTTGATTGGCTGCTGTAGATGCATCATGGCCATGTCAGCCTGTTTGGTTCGTCTGTTGTACTGTCTGTTGATGATGATGCGATTGATTTGTCGGGTCTGAACACTGAAGGTGTTCACATCCTCCTGAGAGTGAAGGCCAACAACCGCCGACCAGAACTGGAGGTGCAGGTTCTTCCTGTAGGGAGGAAACACCTGGACTCATTTCATGTCTTTCTTCATGATTTCTTGCCTTTAATTAAACAGCATGAACACAAACGTTAGACTATTTATGAAATTAATTTATGATTATAAATCGCTCATAACTGATTTTCTTATAGTCATTCATTTATAACCATGTATAATAACTTTCTCTGAGCCAGTACTCATGTGACTGTTATGATATTTTGTGACGATGCTCATGGTCAACTGAGGTGAAAGTGAAGTCAGTCACATAGTCCTGGTTCACCATTAGAATTAGGCTAATCTACCTCCTGAGCCTAGACTGGGGCCTGGCAGGTAGAGACAGGCAGGAGCAACCGTTCAGGATGTAACCGGAGAGTGAGGCACTAACTGAAGGTCGGGATATTTAATAGTGTTTCTTTATAACAGTGGAAGTCTGTTGGTAACTCTTCTCCTCGGACAGACAGTGGAAACATCGGAGGCTGAGACAAAGTGGATGTTACAAAGGCATCAGAGCTCTTCTCTTTACTCGCACCTCTGGATTTTTATTTAAGTGAATAGTTTCCATTAAGGCAAATTAAAATTGAATAATATTTTAGTGACGGTACTGTTCTTCTTTTATTGAAGTAAAATCTTGAATTCAGGACTTTTACTTGTAATGGAGTTTTTTAATACTGTGATATTACCACTTTTCTTGAACAAAAACTGTGAATACTTCACATCACACCAGTATATATAGACTATTTACTATACAGGTAAAGAGATGACAACAGAAACCATCATGGATACATAGATAAATAGTAGATTTACAGTGAAAAATTAGTTCCTTTAAGCATCTGATCAAGTCACAGATGTTATTGGACGAGGACCCACCACTGGAGTCTCAGCAGAGAAAACAAAGTGCTCAACTACTTGTGAAGTACTTCAGGTGTGTACAGGTGTAGTTTTTGTGCAATACCACTGGTGTTTATGAATTTACACGTTTTGTTATTGCTTGATTTGTGATGTGTCTCTCACCCATAAACACAGTGTGCAGCAGTCAGCAGCCAATCGCTGCTGATCAGAGAGGCTCCACACACGTGACGCCCCCGCCAATGCAGAGACACTATCCAAGGCCACGCCCCCTTCATGGCATTAACTCCACCCACCACTTTGCCCACACCTGACAGGTAATGACAAACAGGCTAAACAATCAGACTGAAAAAAGAAACAGGATTAGAAGAAGAGTTCAGACTCAAACTACAAAACAGAAATAATTTTCTTACCTTGACCAGGCTTCCTCTCTTCTGTGTCTCTTGTGACGTTAGTGATTTGACGAACTCCACAAGCTGAAACACACAAATCAGTCAGACTTTCAAACATTTGACTCAGCCTAAAACATCTTTAAATGCACCTGAACGGTGTTTGAGTGAACTCACGCTGGTTGTCACAGCTGAGTGAAATCACGCTGTCACTGCGGCAGGTTTCACTGTAAAAAATTACACAAATGTAAAAGTGCATTTATCCTTTGACTTGACATTTATTTTACACTCTCTTCCGGAAATATTTTAATTTTATTGTAAAAATATGATCAACCTTTCTGTAAAATACTATGATTGTTTGTTTCAAAATATATAACCAGTTCTGATGCTAGATATAGCTGTAGATCTGTTTCTGTTTCCAGTTATGGTCCTGGTTTTGGTTCTTTAGGACCTGACTTAAAGCTTCCAGGTTCTGTTGCTTTGTCATTGTAATTCCAGGTACAGTTGTAGTTGTGGCTTGGTTATGGTTCTGATAATGGTGCTGACCCTACATGTGGCTCGGGTTCTGGTCTTTAGTTTCTTACACTGGTTTTAATTCTAGTTTTAGTTGGCCGTCTGGTTGCAGTGGTGCTCCTAGTCCTGTTTCTATTTTTCAGTACCTGACACTGGTTTCCAGTGTTCCACTACTGCTGAGTTTTACGGTTGCAAATGGTGAATCTTGTGGTAGAGCTGGTAGCAGAGAGGCCTCCCCAGACCTGCAGAGACCCAGAGACAAAAAACAGATCTGAGTGTGGTTCTGGGACTCATCTACATTTTCTGTTTCCTATGAGCTACAGTTAGATGTAATGACAGAGGAGGTCAGACAGGTGACAGTTACCTGTATCCCAGGTACTGACAGGTGAAGTCAGACAGGACAGAGCTCCAGGTGTCAGCACACACAGTGAGAACAGAGGAGGCAAGGCGAAACTGAAGTCGACTGGAACCATTCACCTGCAACACAACTGATAAACAGAGGTAATGAAACAAACACGAATCTGGTATTTGTAGTTTGTAGTCTCAGGACACCTAATCATCTATGAACGTCTGTTCTGTCTCGTGAAATGTCCACCAGGACCACTTTAAGCCTTAGATTAGTTTAAAAATTTACCTGCTGTTGTCCAGCAAAAACTGACCTGACACCAGTGCTGGGGAGTAACTAGTTGCATGTAACTAGATATAGTAGATTGTTTTTAAAGTCCAGCACTGACAATGTACAGCACAATGTAACATCACAGTGTGTTATAACAGTGTAATCTAACGATGTAATATGTTATATCAAATGTTATAATCATCACAACATGACAAAGCAGGGAATGAACCTCAACAGGGAACAAATGTAACAGTGTAATGTAACTTAAGATATTGTTGACACAACTTAACAGGAAACATAACAACACATCACCACCACGTAATAACGTAGCATTATGCATTTGAACTGTGTGTGGTGTGATGTCATAATGACAGCGTAACGTAGCAAGTGTGACATCCTGTAACCCGGGACAGTTTAATGCAGCATATAACAAAATCAGATGAATTCACTGCAGTTTCTACTAAATAATAAACAAACCAATGAAAACATTAAGATTAATCTCTGGGCTATATCATTTTTGATCATGTATTAATTATCAGACATGACTCACCACAGTCAGCTTCATCAGAGGCGTCAGGACAGTCGATCATGCCATTACACTGATTGTTTCCATTGACACAACTTCCTGTCTGACACTGGAACTCACCAAATGCACATGGAGCTGCTTGCAAACCACATGACCCGTCAGTACAACAAATCATTAAAAATCAATCATTCGTATGAATAATACTGCTGTTTTCTGTTTTAAAACAAACTAAAATCTGACCTCTGACTCACCTGGTGACCCCAGGTTAACACCGGAGGTGAAGTTGGCTCTGAATCCTCGACCGTGACCGGAGTCATCCGTAAAGAACCACACTGTCATCTGATTGGTTGTGGAGAACAAGTCATGGGTGGGGCTGTCACTGCCAGTGAGGACAGCTAGGAAACAAAAACAAGCAATTTATCAGAATAAAGTCACATGTGCAGCTTCAGGTGAGGAGAATAGGGGTTCAAACACCACCTCACCTAGTAACGTTGAGTTAGGCCCCGCCCCGTCCCGCACCTCTACCATGTCATAGGTCACTTCAACGTCAAAGTCCAGGAAGTGGAGCTGGATCTTTTGACCCTCCGCACTGTGGAGGGTCCACAGACCTGCAACAGCAGAGGATGAATATGTATAGATATCAGTATTAATAAGAAGTGTAAGGATAAGGATAATCACCTTTATTGGCCAAGTATGTTACACAAGGAATTTGTTTCCAGTACAGAACCGAGGCAGCCATCTGCGGCGCCAACTCAACCAATGACTGTAATCATCGGGGATAACTTGGGGGTGCAGTGTATTGCCCAAGGACACTTCAACATGTGGACTGCAGGGACTGAGATTTGAACCTCCAAAGGGGGGTAAGGAAGGGGGGTTCTTCCTGAAGTCCACTGTCATCTCCACTGTTTTGAACGTGTTCAGTTCTAGGTTGTTGCGACTACACCACAAGATCAGCTGCTCAACCTCCCGTCTGTAGGCTGATTCGTCACCGTCTCGGATGAGACCAATGACCGTTGTATCATCTGCAAACTTTAGGAGCTTGACAGAGGGAACCTTCAAGATGCAGTCGAGGGTGTAGAGTGTAAACAGCAAAGGGGAGAGCGCACATCCCTGGGGGGCAAGGGGGGTAAGGAAGGGGGGTTCTTCCTGAAGTCCACTGTCATCTCCACTGTTTTGAACGTGTTCAGTTCTAGGTTGTTGCGACTACACCACAAGATCAGCTGCTCAACCTCCCGTCTGTAGGCTGATTCGTCACCGTCTAGCATTTGAAGCAGGAGGGGACTTCACACAGCTCCAGCGACCTGTTGAAGATGAGTGTGAAGATGGGGGCCAGCTGATCAGCACACACTTTCAGGCAGGAGGGGGTCACGCCATCTGGGCCTGGTGTGTTTTTGATCTTTCATCTTTTAAAGAGGCCACTCACATCCTTTTCACAGATCATTAGAGGTGGGGGGCAGTGAGAAAGGGTGGTAATTGTTGGGGGAGCAGCTGCTGGGTCTGAGGTGGGGAGGGTGCAGGGGCATTGTTGATCATCAAACCTGCAGTAGAACACATTCAGGTTGTCTACCAGTTGATGGCTCCCCTCAGCAGGGAGGGATGGTTTCTTGAAGCCAGTGATGCTTTTGAGGCTACTCCACACAGATGACGGGTCGTTGTCTGACACCTGGTCTCCCAGCTTTTGAGAGTAGCTCCTCTTTGCTGCTCTGATCTCCCTTGTCAGTGTGTTCCTGGCCTGGCTGTACAAAGTACTGTCTGTAGGCCCCCTCTTTGTCTTGAGTCTTACTGTGAATCAGGGCTTGTTGTTATAGTATGTGCAGAAGGATTTGTTGGGCACACACACACATCCTCACAAAAGCTGATGTAAGATGTCAGTGTCAGTGAGTTCGTCCAGGTCTGTAGCTGCAGCCTCAAATACACTCCAGTCTGTGCATTCAAAGCAGGCCTGTAGCTTTGACTTAGCCTCCTCAGTCCAGCTCTTCACTGTTTTGACCACAGGCTTCGCAGTGTTAGATATTAGTAAATCACTTAGATAATCATTAGACATTATGTGTTAGTAATGCAGTTTAGTAAGATTTAAAGTCTGCTCTAGTCTGTTTTGTTTTAAGGTTAGCCGACAAATATTCAGAGCTGTCCAATTAAAGAACTGGGGTATTACAGCAACTTTAAGTTTCTGCCTGTAGGTTGGAATAAGATGGACCATACAGTGATCAGATTGTGCGAAGGCTGCACGGGGGACAGAGCGATAGGCGTCTTTTATTGTTGTGTAGCAGTGGTCCAGTGTGATTTTGTCCCTGGTGGGACAGGTCACCTGCTGTCTGTATTTGGGCAGTTCGTGGGTGAGATTTTTTCTGTTAAAGTACCCTAGAACAATGAGTAGGGAGTCAGGATGTTCCAGTTCTACACTAGATATCAGTTCAGCCAGGATGAAAGTCAAAATTCTCATGGAGAATAGAAGGATTTGCAATTGATAAAGAGTCTCTAAGTCTGTGTTACATGTCCTCAGTAGCACCGTAACATCTGTGCACCAACCTTCATTTATTTAGAGACAGATTCCCCCTCCTCTGATAAGTATTAATAAAAAGCATAAGTACAGTATAAGTGTAAATATAAATAAAAAATGTAAGTAAATTTGTAAGCATAAAAAAGAAGTATAAAAAGTACAGGTATATGTATATATATATGAAGTGTAAGTACAGCTATAAGTATAAAAGAGAAGTATAAATACAAGTATCAGTATTAATAAAAAGTAAAAGTACATGTGTAAGTATTAATAAGAAGTATAGGTACAGGTCTAAGTATAAATAAGAAGTGTAAGTACAGCTATAAGTATAAGATAAGTATAAGTACAAGTATAAGTATAAATGCAGCTAAAAGTATAAAGGAGAAGTTAAGTATAGGTATCAGTATTAATAAGAATCAAGTGTAAGTACAGCTATATGTATGTATATAACTACATGTGTTAGTGTAAATAAGTACAGTTGTAAGTGCAAAGTACAGAATGAGGGTGACAGTTAGACTAGTGCACTCACACTCAGCCTTGTTCCCATAGGATTGTGGGTAGTTTGGTGAACTGAAAGTGGAGTTTGGCTCCCACAGGTCAAAGGGTCCTCCGCAGTCAGCTGGACCAATCAGAGGGTGGAGTTTTAAAGATTAACAATCAAACATAAAGAAAATCAAACATAAAGATCTAAAATAATTAAGTGTTTAATACAACATTAATTATAAAACTGAAGAAGTTATAACTTTTCAGTTAGTTAACAGTTAGGTTGGTGTCTCACCTGGGATGGGAGGCATGGTTGGTGGAGGTGGTACAATAGTGGGTTCAGGGGGGGCAGGGCCACAGGGATCAGAGGTTAGTGTGATGTCATCCAGAGCGATGCTGTTTCTCCTCCCTCTCTCCTTTAAAGCTTCAAACACCACCTGCAGAGGTCAGAGGTCAAACTGAGTGATCACTTACTGATGAGATTCTATAATGAATTAGTCAGTGGACTTCCTGTGTGACATCACTGACCGTGGCCTTGGTCATCAGGTTTAAGGTCACTTGGCCATAGTTCCAGCTGTCACCATAGTTACCATGTCTCTGAAACACCACGGTAACGGCAGGTTCAGGTTGTGATGGTCGGAGCAGCAGAACTTTGAGACGGAGAACATCCTCTCCATACATGCGGTACCTGCAGATGGACATTTGTGTGGTTACAACTTTACTTTTCCATTGTTTACATGTTTGTTTGTTTATTTTGGCTGTTTACCAAAAGCTCAGACACATGGACTCTGTGGCCGGAGTCAGCGCAAGGCTGTAGATCCTGAAGCTCACCAGGTTTTGGCCAGGACTCCGAGGTGTGACGATGTAGAAACCTGAGCAAGTTCAACACAAACAATATTACTAATACTAATAGTACTGATAGTACAGACAATGCTACTACTACAGATAATAATACTAATAATACTAATACCACTGGTAATGCTGCATACAACAAAATTGCTAATCACCAGTTCATCCTCTAAATCACATTTTAAAGTTCACAGTTTTCTCAGGTTGATCATTTCCCTGTTTAGACTTTTATATTTTCAAATCTTCACTGTCTTTATTTTACCTTAATCGCTTCCTGATAATTAGCTTGCATCATTTGTTTTCATTTCACTGACAAAATAATGCAAACTGCTGTTATTTTACTGTAACATCAGCAGCAGAAAAGATGTTTTATTGTTGTGACTGTCACCGTAAACCTCCGCTTTACACCCACCTGAGCTGTTTCCCAGCGTGTGGTCGAAACTCGGGCCGGCCAGCTGAGCAAAAGTGGAGCCGTTGATTCGAATCCAGTTGAATTCATCATTATTCTGCTGCCTCCAGAAACACATGCTCTGCTCAAAGGTACAGGTCAGCTTCTCCTCATCTGAATACAGAGAGAAATATGTAGAGAGGATCAGTACAATTATTACTCTGTTCTGTTGTGAGGATGGTCTGAAGTGTAGTGGTGAAGTTACTGGACAGGTTAGAGGTGCTGTAGGTCGCGTTGAACCCGGACAGATTGTTGACATCATCAGAAATGAACTCGACAGTTGATTGTTCGGTCAGCAGCCACACCGTCCCGGGAAGGATGGAGCCTGAGAGCTCAGCTGCAAACCATATTAACATATCAGCTCATGTATTGCCAGGTTGTAGAGGATCAGGAACAGGATCTAGAATAATCTCTTCTTCTTCTGACATCCAAAGCCCTTAAAGTCCAGTTTTTAATGTTCATGTTGCTTTTGTTCATCACTGCTGCTGGTTTCCAGTCCTGATTCTGGTCTGACCAGGTACTGAAAGTACAGCATAGGTGTGAGGATTTTAATTCACCAATGAAACAAACAGTAGAAAATAACAGGAGCTCCTGTAAATAAAACCTGTAATAAGATCTGTAACTTCTTACTTCTAAACTCTAACAAAAACTGAAGTTATTGTACTTGAGCCTGAAAACCTTAGAAATCTGCTGTCTAACCATATAGTTACTTTAGATGACATAGCTCTGGCCTCCAGTCCTGCTGTGAGGAACCTTTGAGTCATTTTTGATCAGAATATGTCCTTTAAATCACACATAAACCAAGTCTCTAGAACTGCCTTCTTTCAACTGCGCAGTATTGCCAAAATCAGGAGCATCCTGTCTCAAAGTGATGCTTAAAAACTGGTCCATGCATTTGCTACTTCCAGGCTGGACTACTGTAACTCTTTACTATCAGGATGTCCCAATAATTCCCTAAAAAGCCTCCAGTTAATCCAAAATGCTGCAGCCACAGTCCTGACAGGAACTAGCAAGAGAGATCATACTGTATCTCTCATATTAGCTTCTCTCCACTGGCTCCCTGTAAAATCCAGAATATAATTTAAAATCCTTCTGCTAACATACAAAGCCCTTAATGACAAGGCTCCATCGTATCTTAAAGACCTCGTAGAGCCTTATCATCCCAACAGAGCACTTGGCTCTCAGAGTGCAGGTTTACTTGTGGTTCCTAGAATCCACAGAAGTAGAATGGGAGGCAGAGCCTTTAGCTATCAAGCTCCTCTCCTATGGAACCAGCTCTCAGTCTCAGTTCAGGAGGCAGACACCCTCTCTACCTTTAAGATTAGACTTAAGACGTTCCTTTTTGATAAAGCTTATAGTTAGGGCTGGATCAGGTCAGGTGACCCTGAGCCTTCCCTTAGTTATGCTGCTATAGGCCTAGGCTGCTTCCCCTCTCCTCCCCTCCCCTCCCCTCTCTTCTCCTCTCCTCTCCTCTCCTCTCCCTCCTCCTCCCCTCTCCTCACCCCCGTGAGGCTGATGTTTACCTGTGAGCAGTTTGTTTGGTCCAACGCCTTCATAAAGTTTCAGAGTGTCCTTGTTTTCTTCAGTTTCAAATTTATGGAACTTGACCTTAACTGAAAGTCCTCGATCAACCCTGGAAACAACACGACTTTGTTTGAATCTCAGAAAGAAACTTTTTACATTGTACATATAAAACCACACTGCCACACTATCTCCTCTTTTAGCTTCAACAATCTTACTTTTATTGTGAAAATCTCCTCCCCAGATGAAGACGCTCACTGTGTGTACAGTGTTGTATAGTGTTGTTCAGTGTGTATACAATGTGTGTGTACAGTGTATATACAATGTCTATACAGTGTGTGTACAGTGCATCGGCAGCGAGCTGGCGGCTGACCTGATGATCCAGCGACAGAAGCTGTTGCTGTTGTACGTCTCGGAAACGTCCGACGACCTGAATGAACCACTTGGTCCTCTCAGCACAAACTGTCCATCACACGCTGTCACTATGGAGACAAGAGTGATGCTATCATCACAAACAGGTACATCGTTTAATACACCTGATCAGAGTCAAACATCTGAGAATTACTGTTTACTCCTACTTACAGGTAATCTTCATTATTGATACAGTGCCTTGCGAAACTATTCAGCCCCCTTGAACTTTGCGACCTTTTGCCACATTTCAGGCTTCAAACATAAAGATATAAAACTGTAATTTTTTGTGAAGAATCAACAACAAGTGGGACACAATCATGAAGTGGAACAAAATTTATTGGATATGCAAAACAGCTTGAGCTCAGTGAGGTTGGATGGAGAGCGTTTGTGAACAGCAGTTTTCAGTTCTTTCCACAGATTCTTGATTGGATTCAGGTCTGGACTTTGACTTGGCCATTCTAACACCTGGATATGTTTATTTGTGAACCATTCCATTGTAGATTTTGCTTTATGTTTTGGATCATTGTCTTGTTGGAAGACAAATCTCCGTCCCAGTCTCAGGTCTTTTGCAGACTCCATCAGGTTTCCTTCCAGAATGGTCCTGTATTTGGCTCCATCCATCTTCCCATCAATTTTAACCATCTTCCCTGTCCCTGCTGAAGAAAAGCAGGCCCAAACCATGATGCTGCCACCACCATGTTTGACAGTGGGGATGGTGTGTTCAGGGTGATGAGCTGTGTTGCTTTTACGCCAAACATAACGTTTTGCATTGTTGCCAAAAAGTTCGATTTTGGTTTCATCTGACCAGAGCACCTTCTTCCACATGTTTGGTGTGTCTCCCAGGTGGCTTGTGGCAAACTTTAAACGACACTTTTTATGGCTATCTTTAAGAAATGGCTTTCTTCTTGCACCTCTTCCATAAAGGCCAGATTTGTGCAGTATACGACTGATTGTTGTCCTATGGACAGAGTCTCCCACCTCCGCTGTAGATCTCTGCAGTTCATCCAGAGTGATCATGGGCCTCTTGGCTGCATCTCTGATCAGTCTTCTCCTTGTATGAGCTGAAAGTTTAGAGGGACGGCCAGGTCTTGGTAGATTTGCAGTGGTCTGATACTCCTTCCATTTCAATATTATCGCTTGCACAGTGCTCCTTGGGATGTTTAAAGCTTGGGAAATCTTTTTGTATCCAAATCTGGCTTTAAACTTCTCCACAACAGTATCTCGGACCTGCCTGGTGTGTTCCTGGTGTGTTCCTTGTTCTTCATGATGCTCTCTGCGCTTTAAACGGACCTGTGAGACTGTCACAGTGCAGGTGCATTTATACGGAGACTTGATTCCACACAGGTGGATTCTATTTATCATCATTAGTCATTTAGGTCAACATTGGATCATTCAGAGATCCTCACTGAACTTCTGGAGAGAGTTTGCTGCACTGAAAGTAAAGGGGCTGAATAATTTTGCACGCCCAATTTTTCAGTTTTTTATTTGTTAAAAAAGTTTGAAATATCCAATAAATTTCGTTCCACTTCATGATTGTGTCCCACTTGTTGTTGATTCTTCACATCCCCCCAGGGGATGCCAGAGGACTCCGGGGGAGACGTTGTGTGAGAAAAAAATGACCCAGAAAAAATAACAGTAAACATCAGACCTCAGCTTGGCTCTGTGTGGGTCTAAGTGGATGGATGTAATAGCTACAGTGAGGGAGGAGACAGAGTCTGAGGTGAGCAGAGATGGATGAAGTATGACAATGATTATTTGGATGTTCACAGACTGGTCCTGATGCTGCTCCACTCTACAGTGTGTTATCTGCAAAGTGATGCTAGCTAATGACAGCATAGCTGTGCATCCACTGTTGGACTTGGAACCTAATGAGTGGTAGACCCTGTGCTTCCCTTAACCCCCATTCAGCGGAACTACCCTGCTGTATTTTTGTGGGTCTCTGATTAGAGAAGGGAGGTGTGGCATGAAAAGTGGCACTGTGCACAGTGCAGTGATGATTTGGTTTGGCGGCAACTGAGTCTGATTTTCTTTAAACAGTATTTGACTTGAGTGGAAATGCACAAATAGTCCTGACCCCGTCTGGTTCTGTTGGACTGAGACTATTTCACTAAGGCTGTTGTTGAGTCCGTTTTCAGTTTATGGATGGACTGTGGACAATTAGTTGGTAAAGAAGTGAGAGTAACCCACAGTTCAAGTGTTAATGTGGGATACAGATGTTTTGTTTTTTTAAGAAATTGATGTTTACATGTTAAGATTTAAATTTATTTCTGAAACTCATTTTTATGGTGAAGTGAAACATACGGTCAGCTACACCAGCAGTGACAATAAAGGTAATAATCTGGGGGGTTGGGACCTCCTCTGAGAGGAGGCTCACTTTCCCACACGTTGGAAAGCCCTGGTCTAAAATAAATCTGATCTGGGTGTAGGTCATCACCAACCACAGCGGGCAGCGTCTTCATCAGAGGCATCAGGACAGTCGTCGACTCCGTCACAGAACTGATCGATCGTAACACACGCTGATTGATCAGCACAGGATGCCTGATGAGCGGGACATGTCACTGTGGGGAAAAACTATAAAAATGAGCACAATCTCAACAAACCGACTCACCTGACCTGTTTGTGTTTTCTCACCAGTTGTGGGTACAGCTGTCGTCTGCTCTGGTTTCTCTGCAGGAAAACAGGTACATCTAGTCATTCTTCAGTTTTTGTTGCTTTGTTCAGATACAACTGTATGGTTTGGGGACTTTGAGTGAACTGGACATCTGATTCGTTTGTGTTTTCTCGCCTGTTGCAGGTGTGATGGTTGTGTGTGCCGCTGTCGTCTGCTCTGGTTTCTCTGCAGAAAAACAGTCACAGTTACATCCTCACTTTATTTTGATAGTTTCTCTTGTCGTTAGTTTGTTGTTTGATTCTCATTTTAAACATGGCTCCAGTCGGGGCAGATCTCAGTTCTACTGGGAGCTGGTTCCAGCTGTGGGCAGTATCACAGCTAAAGGCCCCTTCACCTTGTTTAGCTGGGCACGACTGGCTGACCAGTCTCTGCTGATCTGAAACCAGGCCTGTACTCAGCAAGCAGGTCTCTGGTGTATTTTGGGCCCAGACCATTGAGAGACCTGTAGACAACGAGTAGGGCCTTGCACTGAATTCTGTATTTAACTGTAAGCCAGTGCACAGATCTAAGGACTAGAGCAATGTGCGGTCTCTTCCTGGTGTTTGACAGTGATCTGGCAGCAGCTCTTAAACAAAAAACCTCTGATCTAATGTGATGTAGATACTGGTTTGATCTAACCCTGGTCTGATCCAGTCTGGGCTATAGTGATCTGTTCTATTGATCCAGTGTGTCATTTAATCGATTCTAAATCAGTGTGCAGGGCCTTTATTTAGCTCAGTGTCAGAGAGAAACAGATTTCCATGTCAGACGTCTTCCATGTCTACCTGTTGACATCATGATTCACTGTCATATTTATTTTCACAGTCGTTTTTATCCAAACAATATTCAAATAACCTGATTCAGCACTTCATAAGTGACGAGTTCAACACAACCGTGTGTTTGTACTGATGCCGTGTAAATAAACACACCTAATTTACCTGGAAACTTGTGACTTGTTCATGCTGATCCAAAGATTGTTTCAGGCTCGACCAAGATTTGAAGCTGATCTAATCTGATGGGACCTAAAATAATGTGATCTAGTCTGATCTGACTTTTGTCTTCAAGGGTAAAAGAAGCATTTAAAACTGTTTATTCCAGCTCCACTGTTTCTTTTGTTCTTCAGCTGTCAGTGTTGGATTTAAACCTGTGATGACACAGACTCACCTGCAACCTTACAGCAACCTCCCAGACTCACCTGTGATCTGGACGCTGTTTTTGTCAATGACCAATCCTCCACCCTCGACCTCCTGAAGCCCCGCCCGCAGCCACTGCTCTACCGCCGCCACACTAATCAGCTGATTGAACCAGAGGTCAAAGGTCACCACCACACTGCCCCGACTGAGACACAGATCAATAAAAATGATCACTTCTTTAAGAAGATTATAAGTAGATTAATCACTGATTAGAATCAATCAAAAGATTACATCAATCAAATAAAGGTAAGAAGGAAATGACAAAACTAAGCATCAGTACTGATCAGTAAAAATGTTACTGATCAATACTGACATTATTAATCTTACCTGAAGTACAACACCTGACACGACTTGTACGTCCACCTGAGCTCAGTGCGACTGAACACCTCAGACACCTGTTGGCCAATCAGACGTCAAAGTGTGATCAGGTGAGTTTACAGTGAAAGACAACACTGCAGACTGATCGACTGATCAGCTAGCATGCCTCTTTAAACGTTCTACTGAATGAAGTGATGAACAAACAGCTGTGTGGCGCTAGCCTGCTCAGTTAGCCTGTTAGCTCTCTTTATTGACCCCCAGGAGGAAACTGCAGCCACATATACACGAGGAAGAGATAGAAAGGTCTGGTTATACAGTGCAGCAGCAGTGGGCAAGACTTCCTGTCGCGCTCTGTGTTGCAGCTCAGTGTGAGCCCATCGCTGAATGCGCTCTGCTGCTCCTTCAATAAGCGGTGGAGGGGGTGCTCGCTGTTCCTCTGGATGGCAGGCAGCTTGTTCAGCTGTCCACCCCCACAGGCTGGAAGCTGGTGACCATGGCACCAGAGTCTGGGATGTGTTCTGCCCCCATGTATCAGTGAAACACAAGACTAGACTCATGGTTTTTCCTGAGTCCTTATCAGAACTCCAAGCTCATCCATCTTATTCTCCAGAGATCTTACATTTTCCATAATCACTGAAGGGAGGAAAGGTTTATGCCTCCTCCTCCTCGCTCTCCATTTCACTCCAGCTCCGCAGGCACCAAATCTTCTTTGTAGCTTCCCTGGGATGTGGTGTTTAGGTGTGATCAGTTGTTCACACTGGTAAACAATGTTTGTGCTAGGCAGCCTGAATCTCTGGCCAAGGAGTGAAAAAGGTATCAGAAGGACCAGGAAGAAAGACTCAGAGAGTCGAGCAAACAAAACACAGGAGCTGCTGTACCAGGCTGCCACCAGTGGAATATAGAACAGTGGAGAACTGTCAGTTTTACTCAGACGTTAAAAGCCTATCTCTCACCAGCTGCTGGACGTCAAAGGCGAGAGCTTTAAACTGCAGACTGCTGGAGTTCCTCAGCTCCTCAGAGAAGTCTGCTCCGTCTGTGATCACCATCCGACCGGTCACCACTGCAGGTTCAACGGTACCTCGGCGCACAAACATTGACATTAATACGGATCAATAACATCTAATGGGTTTATTAAAAGCAGATTGTGAGTTACCTTCACACTTCAGGCTGATCCACGCGACTACTATGAGTCCAACACAACAGAGCAGAAGAAGAGAACAAATGATGCTGAGGAGAAACTCCAGAGATGACAGCCGCCACTTCATACTGAGCTCTGACAGCAACACAGTCAATCAAAAGTATTGATAAAATTAGAGAGGGAAACCTGTTCTTACCAGTCTGGTTCAGACACTAACCATTTTATACCATACAGCACAATGTCACAAACTCCCTTCCTGTTGTCAGACAGAGCAACACGCTTTGTGACTGACTCACCTGTCCAATGTAAAGCGTAACGTATGAATCGGTTCACCTCCCGCAGAGCTCAGATCAACTGCTGTTTGCTGTTCTTGTTCACAGAGTTAAACTATGAAGTTTCAGGAAACAAACTAACTGCTCGCTCTGACTCTGAACTGTGATCAGCTTTTATGAAGCTGAGATGATTAATGGCTTTTTATGAATATGGCAGCTGATAATCATTATGTTTCCCGGGAAGGGAACACGGAGCTGGAGAAGATAAGCTGTTGATTTATTATTATTATTAATATTAAATATGTTTCAGATAATCACAGAAAAGATTTGATCTTCTCAAGTGTGCATTTATACGCCATTGTGTTTAATTACGTTGTCATTCATTTGTTGGTTTAAATAATATAAATGCACTGTGTTTTTTGGTGTGATCACTCAGGAAATGATGACTTCAGCTGTGAATCAAATGTTAAATTGATCACATTTGTTAATAATTGTGTTATATAATCAGGTTTATGGACCTGTCAATCAAACACGACAGACATGTTTGATTTGATTTGATTTATTTATTCTTTCAAACATGTAACAACAGTCAATATGTAACCACACATAATTCCAGACATATCCACAAATATATTTTCAATTTGCTTATACGTGGTTTGCAAGCAGTATTACTACATGAATACATATTCTACATCCACACTCCCATCTGATTAATCATTAAGCCTGTTCTTGCCCATATCTTGATTGACACATACCTTTATATCTGTGTTTAAACTCATCAATTTTCTTACTGTTTTTTATGTCCACACTTAAATTATTCCATAGTTTTACTCCACTTATGGAAATACAGAATCTTTTTTTGGTTGTGCGTATAGCATGTTGTTGTACATGTGAGAGTAACAAAGTGACGACAACCTGCCGGTGTTTCTCTGTAGCCTCAGTCCAATGCTGCCGGTAATAGAGTTATAATTCAGGAACTAAACTCCCTGAAACATTTCCACCTGTGTTTTACAGCAGCTCATGAACTGATGGACTGTGACCTCAGAGCTCACCTGTCTCTGCTGCTGACAGGATGAGTCTGATCAGATCATTAGCAAACCTATCACACTGTGGATAAATTACGTATAATGTTATAAGGGGGGGGGGGGGGGGGGGTTCTAAAACTTATGAATAATCAAGTGAAGCGTTTTTAGTTCTGACACCTGAAACATTTAAACTGATAGAAACTGTGTCTGTTCATTCATCAGTGTGTTACAGCAAGTCATCAGGTGTCCCATCATTAAAATAACACACAAAGACAAACAAACCAGTTTCAGTTCAATCTGTGAAGACATCTAATGGCAGGATTCATTTGGGCATAATTAAAGAGCCCACAGCGCTTTTGCTTGTTTTCTGACTTATCTACAACTTTACAACGGTTAATTAATTACAGGTCTCTATTGATAAGTACTTTACTCTTATTTTTGTTTTTCTTTTAATCTCTTTCCTAATGCACATTCCCTTGCTTGTTGACATGTATGTACACATTGAGAGCCACTGTACCAGAGTCAAATTCCTCATGTGTCCGACACACCTGGTTAATAAAGCTGATTCTGCTTCTGATTATCATCTTAGACGTGACCTAAAAAAAATTAGGTGTATGTGTGTTCTAGTACTTCTATGCAAAAGCAACTCGGTTTATACAGATCAAATCAAATCAAATTTTATTTGTATAGCGCCAAATCACAACAAAAGTCATCTCAGGACACTTTACAAAGTAAGGTCTAGACCTTACTGTTATCAATATTATTACATAGGGAAAACCCAACAAATCCCCCTTGAGCAAGCACTTGGTGACAGTGGGGAGGAAAAACTCCCTGTTACTCCTTAACCTGTGGAAGAAAAGGGCTAATCCTATTTCATGACCAGGTGACCAGGCTTTGTGTCCCTGTACAGTACAGGACTTGTTTACCTGACCGGGTCTAACCTACAAGCAGCCGGCCTGTGAAGGTATCAAACTGACAAAAAAAAAAAAGATTAAGAGGATTTGCAAGTTCAGTATTTGAGCTGAAACCATCCACAATAGCACAGGGTCTGGTCTTAGTATCCTGACAGCCTGCTATAGTTTTCATGCTTTCATTTTTCTTGTCCCTCATTAAAATCTATGACTCTGTAAATATCAGGTGTGAAACAGGTGTTCCACTGAGATTTCAGGTGAGCTCGGAGAATGTGTCCTCATTCAGCAGCTGAAGGTGAAAACAGCCTTTAACAAATCATCCAGACTGGGTCAGTCTGTTGTTAGTTTCAGGTTATTTTTATAAAAGCACAGGTAACAAAATATAAAAACACACTTCTGATCAGGACAAAGTCGGCCACACTATAACCAGATTAATAAAAATGTAAAAATATTTCAGGTTACAGATGATTAAAAATAAACTTGCTAGACATTGCCGAACTCAAACACATTAACACCAAAGTCAGTGAAATAAAATGGACGTTGTGTAGCTGCCAGAGTACATAACTTCCCTATGCCAACTACAGGATCCAAATTAGGTTTCAGCTGTCAGTGAAGAAGGATGAGCTGACTGGACAAAGCTGACTGTAGCCCATCACTGAAATGCATGTAAACACAGTGAATGAGACCCAAGAACACACTCACAGAGTAACTACACAAGCATTTGAACTCTGGCTTCTTAATTCTCTGTGAGGTTACGAAGACAAAGCAGACCAATGTGTGGAAACAAATCACAGATGTCGTTGGGTCTGTCAGAAAACACCTGAGCAGTCAGAGCAGAATGACAACAGAGAGCGGCAGACTGAGTCCAGATGGTGTTTTCAGATCAGCCTTCACTCATTCATGACAGTTTTGCAGCTGGATTTGTCCAGGCTCACTGTTGAATAGATGTTTCTTCTTTACATCGCTGTTAGTCAAGGGGGGTTTCAAATGAGGATGAGTCACCTCCTCAGTATAATCGGATCAGCATTCATCCATCCACAAATGAAAAGTAGGAATTAAAAACATGAGAACATATTCCAGTTGGACAATCAGGACAGCTGGTAGATGTTCTTCATCATCAGCTCCTTCTCCTCCTCATCATTATTATTGTGGTGCTCTGTGAGGGTCAGGAAGTGCACTCAGTTTTACAGGTCAGCTGTTAACAATAAATGATGTCACCTGGATTAATTACCTCTCTGATGGTGCTCTTCTTCTTCTCTCTTCAGTGTTTCTCTTCCTCTGACCTCCTCTTCTTCTTCTCTGCATTCGCTGATGTTTCTGTACATCAACTGAGGTGAGAAGAAGAAGACAAACAATGCGTTCAGGTACCGTAAACCTGCCAGACACAGCTGAGGGTGCAGAAACCCTCAGTCTCTGATAGATCCTCACCTGGTGGCTGTGATGTGGTGACTTGTCATTGGTAGAGGGGAGGAACCTGTTGATAAGCTGAGCAACCGTTCTGAAAGTTGGTCTGTCGGTGGGCTCCAGACTCCAGCAGAGAGTCATCAGCTGATACCTGAGAGAACAGGCATGTTAGATTCATAAGAACATTATCAACACTAAAATGAACCTGTCTGTGTCCTCACATCTCTGCTGGAGCGAAGTCTGGCTGGGCCATGTGGTAGCCATCTTTGATCATCTTGTAGAATTTTGAATCCACAGCAACATTTGGATATGGACTCTTACCTGAACAGGTAAATACACACAGAGAGAGGTGAGACACATCTGCTATGAGTCCCAGAATGCACCGCTAACATCCATCAGAGAGCTTCAGAGGTGGATATATTCAGACATTTGAATCAGTCTGAATGTGATGTACTGTTGGGATATGATTGGATATCAAGTATTTCCATGGTTACCCAGAGAGAAGATTTCCCAGAGTAAGACTCCATAAGACCAGACGTCGCTCTGCACGGTGTAAACACACTGAAAGATGCTCTCCGGAGCCATCCACTTCACCGGGAGACGGGCCTGTCAAAATAAAACACAGGAAGTGTGAAAATAAAACACACAGGAAGCAGAGGTTGGTGTTGTTGTTTATGGGTTGAGATGCTGACATTTCCCTGCACGATGTAGCTGTCATCGTTGCGAATATCTCGAGCCAAACCAAAGTCGCAGATCTTTGCAACACGGCGATCGGTCAGCAGGACGTTCCTCGCTGCCACATCTCTGTGAATACACTGATAGTGTGTGACACAGACAGACAGGTGAGAGACAAACAGGTTAGGGTCCTCAAAAATATAGAAAAACAAAGGTGTGTGTGTGTGTTTTTTTTACATTCTTGGTGGACAGGAAGTCCAGACCCTGAGCCACCTGGTACGAAATCCTCATGAGGTCAGTGACAGTCAGACTGTCTGTCTGCACACCTGGGAGTCAGACAGAGACAGTGAGACAGGAACACCAGGTGAGTTCACGTGAGTGCAGGTGTGACCAGGTGAGCGTAGGTTGTTACCCTGGTGGCGCTGTCCTGGACTCAGAACCAGCTGCATTTCCTGATACTCTGAACAGCACGAGATGCCACTATCACTGCAAAACATATGATTGGACATTATTAGTCAGCTGGCAGCCAAACAGCTGACGAATGAGACGCATGACTGAATCAGCTGAGCTCACCTGAGCTAAATGTCCAAACATGTTACAACTAGTAACACTGCAGTGTATCAGATCAAATGCAGACATATCAGAAGTAACAGTACTATCGTAAGAAGTATCAGCAGTACCGCAATAGAGCAGATCCCAACCTGTGCCCGAGAGTGTGGCACCCGAACCCGCCCCGAACAAATTTATAGTACATGACGTCCAAACCCGACCCGGGCCCAACATGGTTGAGTTTGCATGGTGTTTTTCCCCTTAACAATAAATGAAGCAGACATTCGAGCACTCCAGCCATCTAGCCTATGGGCGACTCTGGTTCAGTGGGTAGAGCGGGTGTCTCCCAAACAGAGGGTTGGTTCTAATCACGGTGCCTGCAGTCCACATGTTGAAGTCTCCTTGGGCAAGACACTGAACCCCCAAGTTGCCCCCTATGGTTAGGGCCATCAGTGTGAGTTGGTGCCGCAGATGGCTGCCTCGGTTCTGTACTGGAAACAAATTCCTTGTGTGTAACATGCTTGGCCAAATAAAGGTGTTTATCCTTAGCCTAAAGTCTGACCTATTTGTCTGAACCAAACACAAACCCGAACATAATTACTAAATTTATGTCCAAACCTGGCCTGAACCCTTGGGTAACCGAAGGGTCCTGTCGAGCTCAGTTCGGGTATCCACACTCTATATCACAAACATCGGTAGTAGAACTGTACGTAAAGCATTTATTAGGTATTTCTTATGTAGCAGATCAGTTTGAATGTCACCTTGAAGAACTGGTTAATAACATTCCTTCTGCTTTAATTTGATCTGGCTTGATTAATTCTGCTTGAATTTGAAAATCATCAGTTCACTATGCAGTAAAAGAAAATCAGCTGGCATTATCGGTAAAGGTGACTCCTCAGGCGTCTTACACATTGTAGTATCATTGGAGCTTATTTCACCAAAATTATGGAGATCCCTTGTTTTCTGTTGCATGCTGGTCGGACCAGTCAAACAGGAATAATTCAGACCTCCTGAGCCTGGTGTGCTGCGCGGCCATGTTCTTGTAGAAGGCCTCCTCCTCTACCTCGTCCACCCTCAAAATGGACACCAGGAAGTCCTGAGCATGAGCCCGCAAGAAGTTGAGCAGGTCACCATGGCTGCAGTACTCTGTGATCATCAGCATGGGGCCTGGGGGTCAGAGGCCAGAGGTTAAAGGTTACAGAGTTAAGTCATAATTAACCTGGTGTTTGAGGTTCAGACGTCTGCTGTGTTGTCAAAAAATCTAAAAAAGTGAAGAAGTAATGTCTGAGTGTCCAACAGTAACGTGCAAGAAGGTTCAAGTGTCTTTTAATTATGTTTTATAAAAAACTGCAGCATCCAGTAACTATTTTCATTATTCCTAAATCTGCAGAATATTTTCTCAATTAAATGATTGTCATTTACAAAATCAGAAAGCTGAAAAGTGTTTGTCACAGTTTAGAATCGTAATTTAAACAGCTTGTTTTGTTTAGTATCAGAGACGACAAAGCAACACAATAAATGTTCAAATTTGAGAAGCTGAGAAAACTGGTCATTGTTTAGAACACGACCCAGCACATATATCATGTCCTGTTTCTTTTACACAGTGTGTATAATGCAGTGTAAACAGTGAGTGTGCAGTGTGGAAGTGGGGCACTTAACATTTACTTTAAAGTCAGAGTAAAAAAAACAAAACCCACAACATTCGTCCATCTCTGAACAGTGATTTCCTGTCTGTGGCTCTCAGGAGACCTTAGTCTCTAAAAACATCTCATAAGTATATTGTCTCATTTTTAAAGGCTCCATCATTTCGTAAATCAGCTGATCACTGTAGTTTTTCCTCAGTCAGGAGGAAACTGTGCATTTGGTGGGGACTTCTTTCAGCAGCAGATGATTCCGCATTTGTATTTCTAGCAGTAAATGTCAATGTGATTGCTAGGCCTCTGTCCTTGCCACATTGCTTCATAGTTATACTGTATAATGTAATATAGATATTTAATATTTAAAACTGCCCTCACCTCCTCGAGTGCAGGCTCCCAGTAGGTTCACAACATTGTCATGGTAACCAAGATGGCTGAGGATCTTCAGCTCAGACATCAGAGCTTCACGCTCCTCCGAGTGAGCACTCGCTGTTCGTGAATGCGTGAAACATGAATATATGAGCACAGCAGTAACAGGTTGTAGAGACAATGATGATTTAGGCTTCTGGACTGACGTTTGAGCATCTTGACAGCAACTCTAGTGACATTGTTGTCGGTTCCCAGACCGTACGCCCTCGCCTCAACGACCTTCCCAAACGCCCCCGATCCCAGAACAGCACCTGATAGGCAGAGACATCAAAGGTAAAGGACTAAAACACAGAAGGTGTGTGGTGCAGAAGAGAAGGATGTTAAACTGAACACCACTGTCACAGCTTTTGGTTCTGAATGAGATGTTCTCGTACCGAGGTGGAGTTTTTCTCGAGGAAACTCCCACTTGTGGTTGTACGGCAGTTGGGTGGGGTCAATAAAGGTGTAGTTGTTTCCATTGGTGCTCTCAATGATCTTCCAGCGAATCTCATATTTGGGTTTCTGAGGGAAGACGAAGGGCAGAAATAGGACAATTAACATCTTAATGGAGATGATTTAATGTTTGATTAAAGTTTATTTATATAGCATGTTTTCACACACAAAGGCAATTCAGTGAAGGTAATTCAGTTGAAACTTCTTAACACAAGGCACAGACAGATAAAACATTAAAATGCTCCAACAAATACATGACAGCACAGCACAAAGCAGCAATGTGAGCATATAGTACTTTTAGACATGCATCATCAGTTATCTGCTGTACTTTGTGCTATTTTCTATTTTCTTATCATTTGTAATTTATAAAGTCCCTTTGGGGACAGCAGTTATAGCTCAGTGATGTAGGTCTCTCATGCTGTTCATATTCCTGCACATGTAAAACCAACTAATAATAAGAATGCATAATGATCAGGGAGATCACCTGTCTCCACTTGTAAAAGACGACCAGTAGGAGCAGGAGGAGGATGGCGACAGCACTCAGAAGACCAGTGAGAGCTGGCGTGACTAACGCTGGAGGTTTAACAACAGGGCCTAAAAGCACTTTATTTAAAGAACAGGTTTATTTACAAACAGTCACCTACAAGTGTTTCTGATAACTCATAAAACACATAAACACATTTACACTTTAACACTTACGAGGCTTAAAGATGTCACGCGACATCCCCACCTTATTGTAGGCAGCACACTCAACAGTGACATCATCACCAGGTGACAGGGGGAGGTGTCTTGTCACCTCCTCCTCCTCCTCCTCCTCCTCCTGTGAGGTCACATTACCAGGAAACACCTGATAGGTGGAGACATTGGCACACCTGCAGGAGAGGTGAAGGTGTTTCATTTGTTTGTTTTTATCAAACTGGATCTTATTGTCTTCTTGGGTATTTTACTTTGTTTTATTCTCGATAATTTTATTGTCTAGTGATTTCTTTTAGTTTATGGGGATGAACTGTTTAATACATAAAGCAGAGAGTTTATTTATGTGACAAACCACTGGATAAAGTTTTCACCTTTACACCTATTTCTACATTTGTGCTCACTAATGCATTGTCTTACTTATGTAGTGGTACTGCTCACTTTGTCAGATGTCTTTGTGACTAAATGCTAATATATTTGATGCAAATGAAGAAAGGCGTTCTGAAAATACATACGTGTCATGAACACCAGGGCAGATGTACCAGAGGATTGTGGGTAGTGGATATCCAGGGCTGGTGCAGGCCAGAGTGTTGTTCACCAGAGTGATGACAGCATTTGGAGAACCTGAAGAAAACTTGTTTATTGGTGTTTATTCAGCTCTGAAGGTTAAAACAAGATTTAATCTTTTGTTTGCTAAGTGTGCTGAACACAAGGAACATGACTCCAGTATAGTGGCTCTCAATGTAAGTCAACCAGAAAAAGTGCATTTAAACAAGATAAAGATATAAAAACAACACACAGCATGAAAGAATGAGCTTTTATAAATGTACAATGGTTATATTTACAAACACCATGTCATAATCAAAATAATAAGAGAAGGATCAGGGTCAATAGGAATTTCTTACGGTAGATTCGGAGGTCAACAATCTGTGAGCCGCGGAAGAACGAGTTTGACAAATGAAATGAGTATCGACCTCGATCCTCCTGACGGACACGCCGCAGCGACAGGCTGGCCTTTGACCTGCAACATCAAAACCAGCCTTGACATCAGTAATACAGCTGAAACAAACTGCAACATGAAAAATGTCACCTTACATCCTAGTAGCAAAAACACCACCTTAAGAAAGCTTTGATTTGATTTGATTTATTTATTCTTTCAAACATGTAACAAAAGTCAGTATGTAATCACACGTAATTCCAGACATATCCACAAAAATATTTTCAATTTGCTTATACCTAGTACATGCTTGAACGGAGTAGGAAGAAGTTAGACTTATCTAGTACTACCCCCTAACATCATCTAATCATCATTTGTTTGCATGCAGTATTACTACATGGATACATATTCTACATCCACACTCCCATCTGATTAATCATTAAGCCTGTTCTTGCCAATATCTTGATTGACACATACCTTTATATCTATATTTAAACTCATCAATCCTATTACTGTTTTTTATGTCCATACTTAAATTATTCCATAGTTTTACTCCACTTATCGAAATACAGAATCTTTTTTTGGTGGTGGGTATAGCACGAATTTTGTAATTTAACTGACCCCTTAGATTGTATCCCCCTTCCCTTTCATCAAATAGTTTTTGAATTCCACCAGGTAATACATTGTTCCTGGCTTTATACATAAACACAGCAGTCTTGTGTCCCACTAAATCAAAAAACTTTTAACAATTTAGACTGTATGAAAGCTCCATTGGTGTGATCCCTGTATCCCAGCTTATGCACAATTCTTATCGCTCTTTTTTGTAATATATACAATGGTTGAATTGAGCTTATGTATGTGTTTCCCCAGTTTTCAACGCCATACTCCAAGTATGGTAAAATCAACGAAGAATACAAAATACGTAGTGCTTTTATGTCCAACATATGTCTGACCCTCGGCAATATCGATATGTTTTTTGCTATTTTATGCTGAATATATCTGATATGAGATTTCCAGGTGAATCTATCATCCACTATGACACCTAGAAATTTAATTTCATACACTCGTTCTATACTGGCTCCCCCTATTTTCAATTGCAGTTCGTTATTTGGTCTGAGATTCCCAAATACCATAAATTTAGTTTTATCCATATTCATGGATTGCATATTACTATCACACCATTTCTTTATCTTCTCAAGTTCCTGTGAAACCCGTCCCGATAGTTGCTGTAGGTTATCCCCTGATGCCCATATCGTAGTGTCATCAGCAAATAAGACCATTTTCACTAAAGCCGAAACCTTGCACATATCGTTAATGTATAACATGAATAATTTCGGTCCGAAGACTGAACCTTGAGGCACCCCACATACAATGTCCAGATCACTCGACTGATGTTCACCCAACTTCACAGATTATCCTAATCTGTTGTAAATCAACTTCAAAGAATGTAAAGCCGCATATAATCAAGAAGTAGAATGTAGTATTTCTGTTTTGGATGTATAGATCTTTCAACAGCTGTAGCTTGAGGTACATTCTTAAGCCAAAGATACAATACTCTCTAAGGCCGCTGTATTTTACAAATTATTTGTCAATAAAATTATGTCATATATACACATTTGTGTTTCCTTTCACTAGATAGGTTAGCTGACAATAGGTTGACGAATGAAAGTATTGTTGTTAACACAAATTTGTTTTTGTCAAACAGGCTAAAGTTGTACACTTTAAACTGTAACTGAATTCACAATTTTAAGTGCACTGGATAATACAGTATGTAACCCACATCACAACACAAGTATGATAAACAGAAAAACAAGATAAAAATGAGCCCTTTTAAAAATTTTATTCTCCTTAAGTGTATTTTCTTCACTAGATGAAGGTAAATCCAAGTCAGTGTCCGGGTATGTCAGAGTTAGACTGGATCTGATCTATCGCTGTCAACAAGTCAGAGTGTACGTGTTAAATGTAGTGTTTAGACTTTACCCAGGTGATCCAGCCAGGTATATTAATGGCTGTCCAAGTATATTTGGCCACCATGGCCAAAAATATTGGTCCCCCTGTATTTCTGCCAGATAACACATCACTTCTCCCAGTAAATTGTTGCAGTAATGAAGTCTTTGGTTTTCTTATGTTTATTTCTTTTCGTTTATATTGGAACAACAGAAAAGCAGAAAAAAGCCAAATCTGATCCATTCCACATAGAACTCCAAACATGGACTGGACAGAATTATTGGCACCTTTTCAAAATAGTGCATTCTACTTTTAACATGCATTCTGTAATCCCTTACTTATCCAAGCTTTATGTACCACCTTAATAAAGTGCACCATCTACAGCAGGGGTGGCCAATTCCAGTCCTCGAGGGCCACTGTTCTGCTTGTTTTCCAACTATCCCTGCCTGACCTGCTGCTGATTACCTGGTTCAGGTGTGTTCAGCCACTCAGAAGGTGGAAGATACCATCTTAGATGAAAGTGGAGTGAGGAAAGATAAAGTGCAATGGTATCTTCCAATTTGGCCGTTTTTTAACAGCAATTTGTTACAGTGTGGGAGAGGACAGAGAGCTTTTTGAGGGTCCAGCTGGAGCAACACACAGCAGAGACCAGAAAGATGGAAGCTGAACTCAGAAAGGCAGAAAGTCTAAAGAATGCGAACCTTTGCTTGCAAAAGGAGAAAGCCTCCCTGCTAGGCGAAATTGAGGAATGCAGAGCCTCTAGTGAGACTGAGAACAAGAATCTACTGCAGGAGAAGAAGGATCTCTCAGCAGCACTAAAACACACTGAAGAACGGCTTGAAGTAATGCGGTCGATGTACCAGTCCGTCGTTGTGAAGAAAGAGCTGAGCTGTAAGGCGAAGCTCTCGATTTACTGGTTGATCTATGTTCCGACTCTCACCTACGGTCATGAGCTTTGGGTCGTGACCAAAAGGGCTATATCCCGAATACAGGCGGCCAAAATGAGCTTCCTCCGCAGAGTGGCTGGGCGCACCGTTAGAGATAGGGTGAGGAGCTCAATCACCCGGGAGGAGCTCAGAGTAGAACTGCTGCTCCTCCACATCGAGAGGGGCCAGCTGAGGGCTCAAGCATCTGTTTTGGATGCCTCCTGGGTGCCTTTCTAGGGAGGTGTTCCGGGCATGTCCCCACCAGGAGGAGACCCCGGGGAAGACCCAGGACATGCTGGAGAGACTATATCTCTTGGCTGGCCTCGGAACACCTTGTCATTCCCCCGGAGGAGCTGGAGGAAGTGTCTGGAGAGAGGGAAGTCTGGGCATCTTTGCTTTGACTGGTAGCAGGTCAGGCAGGGATAGTTGGAAAACAAACAGGACAGCGGCCCTTGAGGACTGGAATTGGCCACCCCTGATCTACAGTGCCATCATAACAAACCGTAAGGTGGTATTTTCACCTGCGCTAGAGAAGTGAGCTTAGCATACTAGCCTGTAGCTGTAAGCCTGCTAGGATATAGCTGTTATCATGGCAGTCTGCGGTTAGCATGCTAACCTGTAGCCATTAGCGGTGTAGCTCTCCTGGTACACTGTGTTGTTGTCATTGTTGACGTGTGCTGGTGTTGTCCAGTGCCAGTCTCTGATTGGAGGATATGCCTCCATCAGAAAAGTCAGTGTCACATCTTGACCTTCATACACCTCCACCCTGGTGCTGGCACTAATATTAGCACTACTGACGCTATTCACAGTTGTTCTGTTTTCAGTGATTTCCCCATTCACTTCCAATGAACCACTGCTTGTGTTAGCTTCTAGCTCTCCGGCAAGCAGGTCTCCATTGACTTCTGTGTTCCTGGTGTTAGCATTAGCATGCTGCATTGGCTGCAGGGAGATCCTCAGGTAGGGACCATCTGTCAAAGACGAAGAAGAGAATGAGTAAATGTAACTGTGTTCAGCCTTTATGTTGGAACTGATCTGGTGGGTTCACATTTTAGATTCTGTTTCTGCTCTGAAACTGTACAGGGAATGTTTAGAAATTATTTTAATTTTTATTATTTTGTTTTTATACCTAATCATAATGTCCACAGTTGTCATTGTATTACCAGGTGTTTCTATAATGTTACCATAAGTTAGAATTGTTTATTCCCGAGTCATTATCTAAATGAAACAAGTGCTCTTGTTCTGTTATTTATCTTTTTACCCAGTACTCTGAGCTGGGTGGTTGCTGTGATGATGCCAGCTTCGTTGAACGCAGTACAGGTGTAGTTCCCACTGTGTTTTTGACTGACAGCAGAGAACATCAGAGTGCTGTTGATGTACAGGCGAGGGTTGCTATAGTAACGTTGGACGGTGACATTTAGCATCTGGAATAAACCAAACAAGCAATGAACACTAACACAGATTGTTTCTCAAAAGTAAAGACACATGAGTGATGTCTGAACTTTCACCTGTGTATTCCGGTGTGTCCAGGTTACATAGTAGTCGTGGGAGGGGTTACTGGTCATACATGTGACCTCAAACTTTTCTCCTTCCAGTCGGATGAATTGATCCTGGCTGACGGACAGGAAGGGAGGATGATGTAGCCCTACATACAGGTAAACAGGTGCAGGCGGACAGTTAGAAAGGTAGACAAGCACACAGGTTGGTGTAGGCAAGTGTACAGGTATTCCTCGGAATCAAAAGCATGTTGACATGTCCAAAGACAAACAAGTACAAACAGTGAGGTCAACAGACAGACAGGTGTACAGGCAGGTCTTACTGGGGACCACCAGCAGGTTGATAGGACTGGATTTCAATTGTCTCCCATCTTTCCAGCCTGAACAGATGTAGCGTCCACTGAACGATCTCTGCAGGTCTCGGATTAAGGCTCCTCTTCGGGGGTCAATGGTCACATTCATGCCCTGTGGCAGACCCTGTCCCCTGGTCCCAGCACTGCCCTCTGATTGGAGGGTGAGGTTTTTGACAGATGGGTCAGTCAGCAGACATTTGAACAGGAAGTCCTGACCTTCTCTGACGTCAGGGACACTGCGAGGAGTGACGAACACACTAGAGGGGTTGGATGGGTCTGAGAGAGAGGAAGTGTGGGAAATTGGAGGTCAGTTTTGGATCACAGTGAAGGTTATGAAAAACATTATTGTTAGCAGGTGAGACAAACATTTATGTGTAATAATCTAAAGGTGTTTTTCCACCAGAGACAGGAAATGGGTCAATCAAAGATCAGAAGAACTACAGATCCTGAAACAGTTTGTTGACTGAGTGGAGTAGTGTTACTGGTGTCTAATTACATCTGGATCTGTGGAGTCCAGAAGGAGGATGTCTGACTGCCACAATCCGGGGGTGTGGTCTCATTGATCTTACCTTTGACATACAGGTGAATCCAGGTGTCAAGGTGTTTCAGGCTCTGGTTGGTGTATCCACAATGGTATGTCCCAGTGTGCCTGGGGTCTGCGCTCCTGACCTTGACTGGGTTTGGCAGTTCGTTGTGGTACAGTAGGCGAAATGCTGTGCTGGACCAGTGGACTGGGCCATTACCATGGCAACTGAGGGAGAAGTTGGACCTGGCAGTCAGAACCACTTCACTTTGGTTTGGCAGAAAGCCAGAGTTCAGATGGACTGATGGAGGACCAGAAGGATCTAAAACCAAAGAACAGTGAATGTGATACAAGAACACCTGACCACAGCAAGCTGTTAGGACAAACATCTCATCAGATGGACACAAATACCACTTCAAATGAATCATGAAGTGGACTTTTACCAGGGTTAGGGTTATAAAAAAAAATATATATATATATATATTGACAAAATAAATAAAAATAAATTGACATTAAATATCAGCATGTAAACTGAAACAAAAATTGACCAACAGTGCTCCGAGGAACCCCACAAATAATCATTAACACTGTTACTGGGATGATCATGCTGATGTAGATGTCATTAAGACACATCTGCTGAAGTGTCAGTGTTGTTTTTACAGACCACCAAAGCCTGAATCAGTTAATATCTGTTTTTGCCGGTTTTATTTTGTGGCCTAACCTGACAAAATGTTAACCTCAGAGGCAGCAGATCAGAAAGGGCATATGTAACCCAGTGCTAAGAGCAGATGGGGCCTTGCATGGCTGCTATTTCTACAGTATGATTGGGAGCTAGTATAGGTTGGAAGCGGGTTCATTGGGAGATCATTGGGAAGTGTTGAAAAGTGCTGAGAGCACCGGTATGATTACAACATTGTGTTTTGTGACAATGCGTGCAGCCAACCAGATGAATTGTTATGCTCTCACATTAACCAATAAGGTTAATTGTCCCTCCTTGGAGACCGAACATCCTGTTCGCGCTCTGGATATTGTATCAGATGCTTAAGAGCCGCATGTGGTTGCAACACACAGAGCTTAAGAATCGTGTGTAACGGATGTATTGAGCTGAGGGAAAGCTGTGCGCCAACGGAGACACGGAACCCACACCGTTGCCTTTGCCTTGGATTGGCGAGATATATATGCAGGAATGTACTGCACTATCTTAGATGCAATTACTGTTAGCCGTGAGCTCATTCGCGCTAGCATGCACCATTGAAAAGCATGTAAATAAATGCTAATCACTGCTAGCTGCGAATGCTAACTCACGCTAGCTATCCATCAATTCCCTTTGAACATGCCGGTTACAAAGGCTAAAGCCATTTCGTATGGGATAATTCGATTGTAACTTGAGTGGTATTTGAAGAATTGTTACAGAATAGTGTTCTATGATTGTTTTAAGCTGTTATATTAGCACACGTTTATTTTTTGATGTTTTATAGTGCTGACAGGTTTATAATTGATGTTTCTTGCAATGGGAATACAAAAGTGCACTTTGCTTGGAATTTGCTGGAATTTCATCAGACTTTTCTAGCACGTATTTGGAAAGAAATGTGTATTTACAATGCACTTGGGAGCTGTGTTACCTCAATTTAGTGTATTTACTATGCACTGTTAATGGTTGTTAATGTTGAATATGTGAAATTTATTGTACAACTTGAACAAGTGAGAAGTTAATTTTGAAGCACTTGAGAGTAACTTTTAGCTGTAGACAATTAGTTACAGTGTAATCAAATTACGGTATTCTGGCCTTTCCATAGGTCAGGTTTTTTGGTTGGATTCAAATCGAAGCTACTCTACAACAGCAAGAACAGACCTCTCTCCAGTACTGGATGGCGAGCCCCTGCCCAAGGAATTGAACAAAGTGGTAACTAGTGACCAAACTGGTCACAAGACATTGAGCTGAAAAAGACATTGAAGTGACCTAGTACTTGAATAGACTTTATATGCACTGCAAAAGGGACTGAACTTGTCCTCTTTATTTTTGTTTGTATGCGCGCTCACCCTTGGTTAATCTTATTTTCCTCAATGAATGTGAAATTTACACCCATTTACAACATCAGCAGTAAATTCAACTATTTTACTACAAGTTGTGTTGATTATTTCACGGTGGCTATTCACCTCTTGGCTCCTGCGAACCTAGATGATTCTGATCTGGTCCAAACCCTTTCCTTTGTACTGGTCTTACTGGTATAGATAGTTCACAGTACCATAGTTACTGGGTACAGAAGGATAATAGATAATACGTGCACACTAACAAAGTGTTACAAATAATTTTTTTAGCATTTGGGTAATTTCTGAAAGACACTAACAAAGTATTATGTTGTTTCAATAGACAAATTAGTGTGTCTACCAGAAACAAAGTTTGATGATTTGTGGGCAAATAAGTAAATGTAAGGATTAAGTATCAACATGTAAATCTAAATTACAGAGGAACAAGAATAGAGCCCTGGGGAACCCCATAAGTAATTATTAACACTGTCAATGTGACAAAGCCTGCTGGAACACCACTGTACTTTTTTTAGTAGTAAAACTACTGTGATACACAGTAACGCCACAGTACTCAGTACACTGTAATACACTATGTGGATGATGCAACATGATTTTATTTTAAATCAGGAGAGAGGAAGCCAGTAGATACATACACAAGCAATTTATACATTTATGAAATCATCTTTAATTACAAAAAACCTTTCTGTGAATGCAAAAAATTCTTCAGGAAATAATGTTTTCACAAACCTGTTCACTTCTGTTGAGTTTATAAAGGTTAATTGTTTTTATATAAATATAATTTTCGAATTCTTTCTTAATTAAAAAGACAATGCTTAAGTTTGGTTATCAGCGTGTTTAAGGGGTCGTTTACATAAAGTGTCTTTTGTGCACTCAAATTTATTATTTTAAATTGAGACACTCAACAAGCGTGCTCACAATATAGAGTGACGCCGTCGCAAAACTCACAGTTGTGATGCGCCACTTTTTCCATAGGTATCTACGCAGCAGCAAGATTTAAACAATTTCAACTTTTCTGAATGTAGCAAGCGCACCGCAGGTCATTTGACAAGAACCAATCAATTAGCTTCACCCTTTCCATAACAGCGTCTAGTTCAATGCTCAGCTGAGATGGAGTGCGGAGTTCTTGGATCAGTTGGTGAAATTCTCCATGTTTTCTTTGTGCTTGAAGGACGGGGTGCAACCAAACACAGCGTTTTCCCCCCTTCTTGTCCACAAACAAATATAGCAGCACAGCTGCTGCAAGGGACTTTTGGTGCTGGAAATCCATTTATATCCTGCAACGTCCTCATTGTCATGCAGTGTGCAGCTCATGGTTGCTTAGCAACAGCAGACATCACAGGAACACAAGCTCCCAAGCACTTTGGAAGGAAGGAGAATGCGTGCTCTCCACGCAGTTTTAGACGCAATAAGTGAACGGCCCCTAAATCTGTCAACATACTAACACAGGAAATCATTCTCATTGATTAAGTGACAACAGGTACATTACTGGTTAACAACTGACAGTCTCATTGGTTAGTTGGTATAAAACACATTGGATGGCTGTATAAGAGTGATTTAACCTTATTGGCTAGTTGGGAACACATTTCCCTGTCATTAAAAACAGGATTTCATTGGCTGCCTGGAGGATCATAGGATCTCACTGGCTGACAGTAGCAGGTTTCTTGGTGAGGTCCTGCAGGTGGGTGGCAATACGGGATGTCTGCAGCAGTAAAGCCTGATGGTTCTCAACCAGCAGACTCTGGTGACGAGCCACGTTCTGCAGATTGTGGATCTGCTGGGAACCCTGTTGACAAGTCAGAACAGAGGTCAGCTCAGTTAAAATGAGCCAGACGGGACTGCATTGAATCACCAGTAAATGAAGAGAGATTCAATCTGTTTAACTCTTTTCTTCTAAATGACAACTCAGGTTGTTAACTAATTTTCCTTTAGCTCAGACCAGATTAGACCAGTTCAGTGTAGTTTGGACTGGTAATGGTCTACTCTCTCTGGAAATCCTAAATACTACCTGACCTGAGTTCCCAGGAGTTTAACAAGGTTGAAATAGTTGTCCCAGTCTCTATCAAATTAAATTCAAACTTTTCTAAAGTAAAATAAGTTGAACTAAACTAATCTAAACTACACAAACTCATCTAAACTAAATTCAACCTCAGATTAACCAACTTGAACTGGACTCACCTGAGTTCTCAGTGTGCTGAGCAGTTGGACCACCTGGGCCTGGTTTCCAGCGACCTCCTTCTGGACCAGCACCAGCTGTGTTAACAGATCCAAGACCTTCTTCTTCCACAGTTCCTCCTGCTGCTGATCCAGGACCAGCTCCGATAGCCTGGGGGTGGAGTTCGGACTGCTGGGGTCATCCTCTGATCGGCCAGGAGTCTGGGCTGCGCCCATCATCAAGCCAGCAGGTGGATTGTCATGGTGATCACCTGAAGTGAAGACGACTGAAGTCAAAGCTTCAGTTTTTACACATACAGGAGCCATGCTCCTGTAATTTTCGATAAAGTCCCACTTAGAAATGGACTACATTTAACTGAAAAGTTGAGAGTTGAATTAATTTGTTTTCTTCGTAATGATTTGTTTTTAGTGTTTGAATTCTAGACATTTGCTTAGTTTAGACTAAATTTACTAGTGGTGTTTGCATGTTCTCCCCGTGCCTGCGTGGGTTCTCTCTGGCTGCTCCAGCTTCCTCCCACAGTCCAAAGACATGCAGGTTAGGTTGATTGGCGACTCTAAATTGCCCATATTAGTGCATATTTATATATATTATTGGGTTGCAATAATAATTGGGTCGCAAATTGGGTTGCGTCAGGAAGGGCATCCAAATATCCAAATGTATACATGTGAACGGTTGATTCTCTGTGGCGACCCCTGACAGGAAACAGCCAAAAGTAGTAGTAGTATACTAGATTTACTAGTGATTTCTTTAGTTTGTTTTCTTTTAGTGTATTTGGGTTTATTTTGGAACAACTGTGCAGAACTGCAAGCACCGTGGGCTGCTCAGGTTATAAAGGTAAGTAGGCAGGTATAGGACAGCATATACCTGGGGGGTCCGTGTTCTTTTTTTTTTTTTTCCCGGTACTGGCAAGGCAGCAGGAGCCAGTACTATGCTATGAAACCACAGTTAAACTTAAATGCAGACTGCGGACGGTGATAGGTCGCATCACTGGCGGGGACGAAGCAGCCTACAGGAGGGAGGTGGCCCGTCTGGGGTCATGGTGCAAGGGCAATAAT